CGGGGGTGGGGGGTGGGGGGTGGAGCTTGACGGTAGTGGGGTGTCGGTGGGCGCCTGCCGAGGCGCTGCTGCCCTCCGGATCCTGCGGTTTTGAGCGCCCAGGCTCGGCCCCTCCTCTGGTTCCTGTCCAGGGCCGCCGGCCTGAGGTGGCCTGTGGGGCTGGGCGGGGCGGCCAGACTGGACAGACACTCCCGGCTCAGGCAGAAGGAGGTGGGGGTGCTCAGGCCTGCCCTCCAGCCTCATCACCTGCAGGTGTCCCTCGGCCCGGGTGTCCCTCCCGGGGGGCTGTGCTGCGGGGAGGCGCTTCCAGCTGGCGCCTCTGAGAAGGGGCCGGAGGGCAGCCAGCTGCTGTGGCCAAGGAAGGGGTGTGGGCAGGTACTGAGAGGGACACTTGACCACCCTGGGGCGGGGCAGAGCAGGAAAAGAGCAGGGTGCCCCTGCCCTGGCCCCTCAGGTCTGTGGGACACACCCGCCCGACGGCTGCAGCGGAAGCCTGCAGAGAGCAGGGGTGTGTGTGGGCGCCAGCCTGGGCCAGGCCCTCGCTCCACCCTGGGGCTGCAGCCCAGCTGGCCTGGGCACCTGCTGGAAGTGTGAACCCTGTGTCGGCGAGGTGGGCGGTGCTGGGACACATGTGCTCTGACACTGGTGACGGCCGAGCCGGTCCAGAGCTGCCGGCAGGAAGGGCCGGCGGGAAAGCGACAGTGCAGGAGGCTCAGCGGACGCCTGCACCCGTGGGGCCTTGGCGGCCCAGGGGCTGGCCCGGAGCCCCTGCCACACGCAGACAGCACAGCCCGCGGGGCCAGGGGTGCCGGGGCTCCCGAGAGCCCCTCCCACTGCGGGGGCGGACGGGCGTGGGGGGGCAGCGGTGAACCGGAGGCTGCAGGGGCGGGCCGCCCAGTGCCCAGCGGGACACGCGCCTGGGGCACAGCAGGGCGTCACGGCATGAGGGGACTGCGGTGTCCTCACTGGGAGATGAGCGTGAGCGAGCCCGGCCGGGCAGACGCGGGAGGCCGTCGTGCAGGGCCCCAGGCCAGCCGGCCCCGGGAGGCTCCTGCTGCCTTCCGGGCCAAGAGCCATCGCGCAGCCCCCAGTGCGGGCCGGGCCTGGCGGGTCAGCTGCAGCGTGGGCTTCCGTGTCCTCACGCCGCTGTCCCTGGGCGCGGTGGGGAGCCCCGACCGGGATTCAGGCCAAAACCTCCCTTTCCGCAGAAGAGCGAGTTCCACAAGCTGGCGGACGCGAAGGTGTTTCTGAGCGACTGCCTGGCCTGCGACAGCTGCGTGACCGCAGAGGAGGGCGCCCGGCTCGCCCAGCAGAACGCCGAGGACTTCTCCCGAGTCCTGAGCCTGAACCAGGTGCGGCTCCTGGGCGCGGGCCGCGGCCTCCCTGCGGGAGAGGAAGCCGCAGCCCTGCAGGTGCCAGTGCGGGGTGGCTGCGGGGAGCCCCAGAGACCCTGGTCTGGTGTGAGCCCGCGGCGAGCCCGGGGCACGCAGCCCCTCGTCTGGCCGTCCCCGCCCGCAGTCGGGCCCTGTAGGTCAGCTTAGGGCGGAGCGGCCAGCCTGGTGCGGACGCCCCGTACGTCCCCCTAGAACAAGGCTCTGTTGGAGCTCAGCGGGACCCTGACACAGCTTGGAGCCTCTGAACTGCCTGCAGGGCCCCACGACCCCTAAAAGCAGCTGTGCCCCTCCATATCCGCAGGGATGGCCGCACCCTGCGAGCACCCGAGCACACCCGACAGCGGAGGGTCAGTGTGCTGGCGGGCTCCTTGCTCGCCCGTGGGGCCCACAGCCGCCGCCGGCTCTGACCGCAGGCGTCGAGCAGACTGCGGGCTGCGGTCACGGGGGGCCACGGGGCCGGGCCGCGCTCCCCGAGCAGTGTGAGAGTGCCTGCACGGCCTCTGCTGGGCAACTCGGTCTGGCCGGGGTGGGGCCAGTGCAGTGACGGCAGATGGGCCTGGGGCCTGGACGCCCCGACCTGTGGGCGCGCGTGGACAGTGTTTCTGGAGTGGGCGGAAGGAGGGCCCCGTGCCTCGGGGCGGCGTCTGAGGTGACCGGGGCTGAGGCCCCGAGGCGCTCGGCTGGGCGTGCGTCCCTCCGCGGGGCTCCGCGTTCCCTCAGGGGTCGTCGTTTTTCTGCAGACACCCAGGCTCGCCAGCGGGACTGGCCTAAGCCGCCCGGTCCTCTCCCCGCACGGAGGCGCTGGCGCCCTGACGGCCGCCTCCCCCCCAGGAACCCGACGCCTCGCAGCACAAGGTGCTGGCAGTGTCCGTGTGCCCCCAGGCCCTGCCGTACTTCGCTGCCAAGTTCAGCCTCAGCGTGGCCGACGCGTCCCGGAGACTCTGTGGCTTCCTCAAGAGCCTGGGTGAGCGGCGCCGCCCGAGGCGGCC